GGGTAGGCAAGTTCTTCTTGATCTCTACAACCATTTTTATAATGATTCCATTTACCCAAAATCTTGGAAATTAGCGAAAATTCTTATGATTTATAAAAAGGGAAACCGATCAGAACCTAACAATTACCGCCCAACATAACAATAATAACAATTGCTTTATTATCTGTAATTAGGAAGTGTTTTACTGCAATACTCACTACTCGTTTTCAAAACTGGATCTCTGAGCAGGATTTAAATTCGAAATTCCAATATGCATTCTCCAAATCAAAAGGTACTGAGTTGTCAATATTCCTACTGACTTTAATTATTCAAATATACCTTCACAAAAAACGTAGAAAAATATTCTCGGCATTCATCGATATATCTAAAGCTTTTGACTCCGTGCATGTTCCTACTTTGATATATAAATTAAAAAAGAAAGGAGCTGGATCTAAATTCTGCAATTCAATTGAAAATTTATTTTTATCATATACAGTTAATATAGTTCATAATAATCACATATTTCCGAATTTAAAAATACATCGTGGAATACTCCAAGGAGAACCTTTATCGCCTCAATTATTTAATTTTTACATAAGAGAGATTGATGATTTATATACAAATGAAAATGAAGGAATTCTTATAAATGGCCGTACTTATCATTATATTTTATATGCAGACGATCTTGTTTTGTTAGCCCCAACTCGGATTATTCTACAACGTAAAATTAATGCACTTAATGATTATTTAAAATCTATTTTTTTATCTATAAATATTGACAAATCAAAAATTCTTATATTTAGAAATAATGTGAAAATATCTAATCAAGAAAAAAAGTTTTATCTAAATAATAAACCGATTGAAGTAGTAAATCAAATAAAATATTTGGGAATATACTTTAACTGGAACGGCCAATTTCAATACCATTTAAATTATCTTACTAGTAAAATTAATCAACTTATAAATAATGTTATTTATTTATCATCTAAGCTAAGGATTTCCAACCTAAAAATTCATTTGAAANTTAGATCAGAGACTAATAGATTCCAACTTTTTCCATTTTTTTTGAAACGTTTATTCAAATTTTATCTTCGCATATTAAATACTGATGACGATAATATTAAATTTCTATTTCAATTAATAAGCAACCAAAATGGAAGCCTATCAACTAAAAATGTTTCGTGGTATCAAAAATTCGTTAAAATAATACAATCTTATGGAATTTCTACTTTATTACTCAATTCAACCGAAGACAACTGTAAACACGCATACTCCTTAATGATGAATTCTGCTTTATCTCAATCTGTTATCAAGGATCAAGATTCCATTTTAAATTCGACATATCACTATTGGTATCAAAATATGTTACATTTTCCATCAAGTTCGAATATTATTACAACAAATACTAATTTAAATATTAAGCGCACGCTGATTCAGATACGTCTTAATTACAATTCGTTACTGATTGGCAATGTATATATTGATTTTTCCAAGAAATGCTACTGGTGCAAGTCTGAATCTTTTAATATTTACCATATTCTTATTGAGTGTCCAAAGATTGAAGAAGCGCAATGTAAATTTAAATTAAAAGAAATTTTTGATTTAAGTCAAGAAGAAAATTTCAGAACTAATCTAGAAAAAATTCCGTTATGTAAAATGTATAATATTCATAACTTTTTTGTTCATATTTTAAAAATTTTGAAATATGATGTTGTAAATTGAATGATTAATATGTTATGTTTATCAAAAATTATGTAACCAAATATTTAAAAAATGTTTAAATAAGTATTAATTATCTTTTTGTAAATCTCTAATGCTAACCCCCTGTAACAAGATTTTTTCTTACTACAATAAAGCATTTGTATATATATAATTCATTTAATTAAAATGCATTTTGATTAAATGATTGATTGTTATACAGTCTTTTTCAGTTGATCATTGATCAAATTTATTAAAAATAATGTTCTTTAAAAATGTTCTTTTAAATTAAAGTAAATTTTAGTGTGTTTTAACACACTAAAATTTACTTTCCTTTTTACAGTTTCTTTTAGTGTATATTGTGATATTCAGCTTAATTTAACACTTTTTAATGTTTTTGAAAAACTTAATTTTGCATCACAAGAATTTAATGATTCTGCTTATTGATTATAGTTTGAGAACACTATATTGTATAATTTTTTTTACCATATATAAGATAGATTTAAAGTTTTCTCTCAAAAGCATTGCCTGTTTAAATATTAATAGTAAAAATACATTATTGAAACAATTTATTTCAGAAGCTAACACTGGAAAGTTAGATAATTGTTTATAAAATGTACATTTATTTTCTTTATAGCCAAAGAAACGACCTAAGCCATCTGAATGGAAGAAATTGGAAGAATCTGCAATATATAAAGGAAATAATACTCTTCGAGAATACCAGTTGGAAGGTGTAAATTGGCTAACATTTTGTTGGTATAATGGGTATGTATTGATTTTTATTAATAAATATTTAAAATGCAAATATTTAAATTATGAATGAGAACATATGGAAAAATGTTTTTCCATATTGCTGAGTTTAGATGACTTTTTAAACTTATTGAATCTAAGCTGGAACTACCATATAACAGAAAATTCACACCTTTCTCATACTTTTCAGCAGTAACTGTTTAATAAACAAATGTTTTCCGCCACTTTCAGGAGCCTGTGTCAGATTCTTATACAAAATTGAACATCTATAGTGAGTTTGATGTTTGGATTTCTGATTATCTTTGACATCATTATTTTTGAAAAAATTAATATTTTGTATATTTATGTAAATATTAATACAGTTATAACAAAATAAATGAATAAATAAGAACAAACATTATTATTATTACTATGTTGGGTTTAGTGGGTTGTACTCGGTTGACACTGGTGGCTGTGTGCTATGCCGGACCAGAGTCAAGGCATAGCAACCAAAACAAAACAGAAATTAAAAAACTGTGTCAGTGTGTGTGTGTCTGTATTTAGGAATTTCGTAACAATATGACATGTATTTAATATAGTGGCCTTCTGTAGTGTAATGTATGTATTTCTATTCAATTGTAATATTTCTAGGATTTCGTGTAGTGTGTGGGGTACACCTGTAAAGGAGAGAAAGACAGGTACAATAAGCATCCTTTCCATCTTCCACAGATGCCTTATTTCTTGGGCAAGTTCCATGTACTTGCTGATTTTTTCAGTACAAGTGTTTTGTATATTGTGAGTGTTTGGAACAGATATGTCTATCATGTATGTGATTTTATTGTGTTTGTCAATGAATGTGATGTCTGGTCTGTTGTGGTAAATTGTTTTATCTGTGATTATGGCTCTGTCGTAATACATTTTGTGCGTGTTATTTTCCAATACTGTCTGTGGAATATACTTGTAGTATGGTTCGTGGATGTCTGCCAATTTGTGTTTCTTTGCAAGCTCTTGGTGTATTATATTTGCTACTTGATTGTGTCTATGTAAGTAATCTGTCTGTGCCAAGAGCTTGCAACCAGAAGTGATGTGTTGTATAGTTTCTGGCATGATGTGACATTTTCTGCATGTGTCATTTGTGAGTGTTGTATCTTTGAGTATGTGTTTTCTGTAGTTTTTAGTATTTATGACCTGATCCTGTATGGCAATCATGAATCCTTCCGTCTCCCCAAAGAGGCATCCCCGATCTAACCAGCTGTTTGACGCAGTTTTGTCAACAAAATCCTGGGCCAGGTCGTAAGGATGCCTGCCATGGAGAGCCTTTTGAGCCCATGATTGCTTAATGTTGTCTATGCTTTTTATATGTTGTGTCATGTCTGTATGTTGTGAGTGTAAGTTTAATGGTGTGTTATTTGAGTCTGCTAGAGTTACTGCTTTATGTAACTGTGATGTTTCTTGTTTCTTGTAGAAAAACTCTCGCAGTGACTGTATTTGTTTGTAGTGAAGGTTAACTATGTCAATCAGGCCACGTCCGCCTTCTTTACGTGGAAGGGTTAATCTTTCTGTGGCGGATTTAGGATGATGTTGTTTATGCTTAGTAAGTGTTGTTCTTGTTTTCCTTTGGAGTTGCTCGAGATCTGTGTGAGTCCAATGTATAACTCCAAAAGAGTATGTGAGTACTGGGATGACATATGTGTTTATTGCTTTAACTGTGTGTTTTGCATTTAACTGTGTTCTAAGTATAGCGTTTAACCTACTTTGGTATTCTTTAATTAATCGTTGCTTTATTTGTGTATGTTCTGTTAGTTTGGCCTGTTGGAATCCTAAGTACTTGTAGAACTCGCCCTCTTCCATGGATTCAATAACGTCTTCTTCCATGGATTCAATAACGTCTTTATTATTATTATTATTATTATTATAGATATTTTCAATATGTTTGTTTGTGTTTATTAGTTTATTTTATTATAACTGTATTAATGTAATAGTACTATGTAATAATAGATCAATTGATTCCAAAGGAATTCTATATGTTAATGTTCTGTACTGTACTTAAAATGCCTAATAAAAGTAGCTGAAAAAATAATTTATTGCATCAAAAAAGGGTTTAGATAACAATAGATTTAAAATTGTTTTATTTATTTTGTAGGCAACTTAATTTATATCTAGAAAAGTCAATAGATGTGATAGGTTTCTAGGTCACAAGTTAAACAATTAAGTATAGTTTGTTGACTCTATTAATAATTTAAGTTGTTTAGATATTAAAACTCGTTGTTTTATCCAGATCAGTCAAAATAAAATATTATTTTAATATTTGAAGTCTGAACAATGAAGATAATTATTATTACTAACAAAAAGAGGATAAAAAAAAATCACCTTAATTGTCAGATTTGAATTTTTATGAACAAGTGTTAAAACTTTCAGTTAATGTTAAACTGGTATCAATAATACTTAATCAGATGATAATTCATTTTTAGTTATTAATAATCAATATAATAAATAAAAATTTATTATATTGATTATTAATAACTAAAACAATCAATTACACTCAAGCATTAATAAATCAGTATTATGACTTTTTAAAATAAAGCAATAATTTCCCATTAGTAATAGAAATTTAGATTGTATTGAGATTAAGATTGCAAGAAATATATAATGATATGTATAAATAATAAATAAAATTTAGGTAATTTTTATTTTATTTTTTTTAAAGTTTTACAATGTAATTTATATATATTACTGACTTGGTTGAAATTATCACTGAAGTACTAAATAATTTTAGATGATCAAAACAATTCATGCAGTAATGCCTTCCTAGGAGTTCATAAATGAAACAAAAATTATGTTAAATCAAATTTTATTGAAAGTTTTAAAATGGCTACATCTTCAAAATATGCAGAGTATAGACTACATTGAATTGAACTACTTTGAAAGTGGTACACTGTAAAGCTCACTTTGCAATGGTTAAATTAAAAATTTAAATGCAAAAAATTTACTTAAAATACAATTTTAAGTTTATAATGGATGTAATCTGAAACATCTGAATCATATAAAATTTTAATTAACAAATTTTTAACTGCAATATCAATAAAAAGAAATAACAAATTTTATTATTATTATTTCAGGCAAAATTGTATATTAGCTGATGAAATGGGTTTGGGAAAAACAATCCAGTCTATTGCATTCTTGAATGAAGTATCAGATTATGGAATTACTAGTCCATTTCTAGTAATAGCACCACTTTCTACCATTGGGAACTGGCAGAGAGAGTTTGAGACCTGGACTGATTTAAATGCAATTACATATCATGGAAGGTTAGTACATTTTTATATTTTACAGATATCCATATTTTAAAATTTTAAGTATTGCATTAGAATATCTTTTTATGCTAATGTTTTGTTATTTAATATGTTGTAGATTAAATAATTTCATATCTACAGTGCAATCAAAATTATAAACTGAATGCAAAATATAGTTTTAGAATCCAAAATGTTATTTTATAACAGCATGTGTATTTTGAATACAACTTAAAAATAAACATTTTTATTAATGCACTTTTTTTGTTAACCATAAGACATAATTAGCACAAGTAATTCCATTTACCTTTACAGTCAAAAAATATAAATTCAGTACAGTTGGTAAAATAAAGAAAAGCAATACAAACACTTTTTTCTCAGAAATATTTTAATAAGAAGTAAAACTACCTTTGTTTAGGATAACATCAAAGGTTCACTTTGGCATTGAATCTGTCAAGCTCAATAAAAGATCTTTTGATATGGATTCCCATGCCATTTTTACTTTGTATTATTTGCCACAGATCATCATTGTTTTGATACTGAATGTCATTCTTGTATACATTGCAGACTAGATAACTCCATAGATTTTCAGTGAATTGAATCCGACTTCTGGCTATTTCAGAAGGATAGCACCATTCTTTGTAGACCACTGGCATGTATGTTGCATGAGATACATGCATGGGTGCATTATCCTGTTGGAAAAAGTAACATTTAATGGAGAGAAGCATCCATTCTCAAGAACTTCCACAAGAAATTGTGACAGTAGTGCACTCTTGATAATTCAGGCTAATTATTATATGGGGTTGTTTGGATTCGTGAAAAGTTTATATTAACAGTGTAATAATGTGTAAAGAAAAAGAAGTTAGAAAATAAATATATATTTTTGAAATTTTTTATTTTATATTCAGTGCATAATTTTGTTTTTAAAGTTTGTAGACATATTAATTTAATAAATATTTTTAAAATTTATCTATAATTTTTTTTTGGTTGGAATATTTTATAGAACAAATAAAGAGTGCACTGTATAATGTGAATTAAATTATATTTTTCATGCTGAATACATTGTTGAAATTTAATGATGTTATTAAAATTAAATTTATTGTAAAATATAATAAAAAATAATTTTGTTGAAATGTTGAAATTAAGTATATAATGTATTATTTCAGCTCTGCAAGTCGTAATATGATTCAAGAATATGAAATGTATTATAAAAATGAAAAGGTAATGTTATTTTAAACTTTGTAACTTATTAATTATATCTTGCATTTCTATATATTAATACAATAGAGTTTCAGGTTTGATTATAAATAAGCATATACAGTAATACCCCGAACTTACGTGATAGGTGGGACCGAGCTATAACCATGTAAGTCAGGGTGTAATTTCGCAATTTGTGTAAAATCCAAGTTGGATGTATGTAAGCTAATAAATGTTCTTATTAATCTTATCTCTTCTTTTGATTCATTCATGGTTACAAGAAATCACCACATAGTCTCTCAAGTCTTCGTAGATATAACAAACACAGAAATAAATAACACAAAATAAATTGTATGCGTGATACTTCCAAACATGTAAGCTGAACAATAGTGTGGGGGGAGTAAGTAACCAAGAGTTGCGTGGCACTGAAACAAAAGATGAATCGACGAGATTTGAAAATTGCGTAACTCCGGGTTTGTGTAAGTCGAGGTATTACTGTATAATATGTATCTTTGAAATATTTTCTCTAAATATTAAGTGTTATTACTTTAATATTTCTGCAAGTTCAAAAGAAAATTTTGAACGTTATTTCTGGAATTTTCTACAATTTATATTTAATTTAATGATTAAAATATCAGTATAGCAAATACTAATAAAAAGTTGTATTGTAAAACAGCTGATAATGATTCATCTTATTTTGCATTTTTGTCTATTGGAAGAATTGTAAACTGCTATTTATGAAGGAAGTTTATTATGCTATGTTTATAGAAAACTAGAATGAGCTATTTCTGTTGATTTCAGTGCTATATATATATATATATACTGAGTGGCCAAAAAATTAGAGACACCTCTTATTTGAAAGTAAATCAGTCCAACAGTGATGTAGTGATGTAACAATGCAGAGTTGCTTATATAAGGTATGCTCAGCTTCAGACGACATAGTTATCATAGAAGTTAATATCAAAATGGATAAGACAAAAGATTTAAGTGACTTTGAATGAGGGATGATCATCGATGCAAGAAGAGCTGGTTTCAGTATCTCTGAAACAATGATTCTTTTAGGATTTTCTTGTCCAACAGTATCTCAAGTGTTCAGATAGTGGCAGTTGAGAAAAAAACTTAAAGCGATAAGGACAATTCCAGTTGAAAAAGACTGGTGAACAAGAGATGAAAGACAATTAGCATGCATAGTCTGCAGCAACAGAAGGGCAACAACACAACAAATTACAGTTGAATTCAATGCAGGTGCATCACAAAGCATATCCAATGCACAACAAAACACACTACAAAGAATGGGCTTTAGCAGCAGGAGACCATCAAGAGTGTCTTTGGTATCACAGAAAAATAGGAAAAGGCACCTGTTGTTGGCCCAGGAATGACAAAATTGGACACTTTAGGACCGGAAAAATAGCTTGGTCCAATGAGTCTCATTTTCTGCTTCATCATGCAGATTGCAGGATCAGAATATGGCACAAACAGCACAAATTCATGGACCCCCTCCTGCCAAATGACAATTCTTCAGGCTGGTTGCGGTGGAATTATGGTATGGGGAATGTTTTCCTGGAGTACATTAGGTCCCTTGATATTTATGGACACATCTCTGAATAGAACAGCTTACCTCAGCATCATTGCCAATCACGTACACTTGTTTATGGCTGTAATGTTCCCTGATGGAGATGGTCACTTTCAGCAGGGCAATGCACCTTGTCACCATGCTCAATTGGTCTCAAATTCGTTTGAGGAACATCAATCATAGTTTAACCTGCTTTCATGGCCAGCTCGGTCCCGACCTCAATTCTATGGAGCATTTGTGGGACGAAGTCAAAAGATCACTTCAAAGCTTGGAAACGCCACCATCCAATCTGATCTAACTTAGAGCTGCCATTATGTTAGCATGGGCCAACATTCCTCAGCAATGATATCAGCAACTTGAGTCCATACTAAGAAGAATATCGGCTGTGATCAGAGCTAAAGGTGGACCAACTCGTTATTAGAGGGTGTGTCTACTTTTTTGGCCACTCAGTGTATAACAATTTGAAATATCTTGAATTGAAAGTGGTAAAATGTTAAACTTCATAGAATATATTACTGAAATGTTAAAAAAATTTTAAAATAAAGTGTAAAATTAGTGAGTTAAAAGTTTTTTAAGTCAAATTTTTGTTTTGTAGGGGGAGAGAATATTGGAAGTATATAAGTTTCAAGTAATGATAACAACATTTGAAATTGTACTTAGTGACTGTTTAGAGTTGAGAGAGATACCTTGGCGTTGTGTTATTATTGATGAAGCACATCGCTTGAAGAATAGAAATTGTAAACTGTTAGAAGGCTTAAGATTATTAAATACGGTAAATAAAATTATTAATATATTTTATTATTGAGCATTTTTAATGAAATTTTTTTATTTCAGTTATTTTTACTTATAAATGCTATTATTATTTATTAATTTAAAATGATTTATTGTCATTTCAGTTTAACATCTGTTAAAATAAATATAGTATAGCTGAATGTATTCTGTGAAGTACAGAATATACTCTGCTAAACTATGAAAATAATTTTATATGGATCTTTTTCTTATATTAATTCTGAAAAAGTTTGAACATTATAGTGAATATGTCGTATTAGAAGATTTATTTTTATTGAATATTTATTATATAGACAATATAACATATCATTTTAAATTGGTTTGAAAGCATGGATAAATCATACTTGTGCATTATTTAATTTATTATTATTGTATACAGCATAAATAGTTTTTCTGTTAAGTTACACATTAATTGGAAAAGATTTGTAATGTTTTAACTTTTAGATATATTTAATTGTTAATAAAAAAACAAAGACAATGTAGCTGACAGATTTCATATCTTACTTTTCCTACTTTCATAATTGTTTGTTTGCTGGAAGTAATTCTGGAATCTACTGAACCAATTTTTAAAATTCTTTCACTATTGGAAAGCTTATTCCTTCCAGATAAACATAGACTATATACTATTTTCATATTAAAAAAGATTAAAAGTATCCTGCTTTTTAAGTAATTGTTCTACTTTTTGTCACCAAGTGATGATACAAGAACATTGCACCTAGTTATGCAAAAAGCTACCAACCCTCAATGTACTTAAACAGAGTAAGTTGTAGTTAGTTTTTCATTTTCAAAAAACACAGCTTTGCTTCTTTGAGGAAATTTACAGTTATTTTTCTATACAGTAATTTCAAACAATGTTTTCAACTTGAACCAATACTAATTTTTCTTTTTAAATAAATTGTATAAAATTTGGGGATTGGTAGTATCCTGCATATTGAGAAATCAATCTAAAACATTTGAACTGACAATATTAGCATACTTAACCTATTCAATGTTGAAATTTTTATTTGTTGCCTGTGATGCCATGTTGAATTTTTGTCAATGTTAAGACTAATTTTTTTTTTAATAATAATCGTGTTTACTGTATCATAAAAAATTATTTTTTTATGTTTCACAAACAAAATATATATATTGAATAATATAAAAATGAAAAAATTTTTATTTTAAAAGTTCATTTTAATATAAAAATTGTGATGCAAAGCGACATCTAGTATCAAAAACGTTGCAATGTAAACACGGAAATATTCAGGGTCAACGTAGGGCAGGTTAAACAAAATTTATTTTTAGGTTTCAGAAAGGATGTGGGATAAATAAAAAAAGCAGTAATACATTAATCATCATTTTTATCAATTTCAAATTTTAAAAAAAGCACAGAACAAAAACAAATAGAAAAAACAAAACAGTGTTGGATTATACAATTATTTAAAGATATGATGCTTTATATAGCTTTAAAAATTGATTGCTTGCTTTTCACTGTAATATGTTATAAAGCTTTTAAATTGATATTGCAATTAACATTTTTCATGATAGTTTGTATTTTTTTTTTTTTAATTATTACATATTCAGTAATTGTAAATGTTTATGAAAAAAGAAGGTTTTAACCTATCCAGGATTATTATTCTAGTAACTAGTGAACAACAGTCTATTTGGTAGGAAAGTTTCATATTAAAAAAATAAGTAAAATTGAAGTATATAATAAATCAACTCTTATCTTTTCTTTCCTTGTTAATGAGAAGATATTTTATCATATAAATATATTGTTGACTGCTTTTGTCCTGATATTTTATCAACGTTCTTTCTCTAAACGATGATTTTTGTTATATTTAATTTGTCATACTTATCCTGATTTTCCTTAGAAAGTTCTACTTTTTAAGTTTTGGAATGCAGTAGGAACACTAACTGGATTAACTACAAAAATTTAAATTATTTCAAAAGAATACTGATAAATGCCACTAACACAATCATTATATTATTGTATTATTACTTATAATTATAATAAAATAATGATTTTTTAGGAACATCGTGTACTCTTAACTGGAACACCATTACAAAATAATGTTGAAGAACTGTTCAGCTTGTTAAATTTTCTTGAACCTAATAGATTTGTATCTACAGAAGCCTTTTTGGAAGAATTTGGTGAATTAAAAACCGAAGGACAAGTAGAAAAACTCAAAGCTGTGAGTCTAAAACTTTTCTCTGTTTGTCTTTCAGTGTTATTTATATTTGTATATTTATTTAAAATATTGACTAAGTAACT